GCAGTGACATATTCTTGTGGATTCAATGCCTGCTGAGTGACCTTTTTCAGAGAAAAAACAGCAGTCCTGCCTGCTGGTCTATGGCTGTTGCTATTTGAGAAACTGAACATTAGCGTTTTTCATGCAAACCACAAGCAGCTGTGTGTCACCAGCAGCCGAGGGGATTAGCTCTCAGATGCTATGGCCATTAGTTGTCAGGTTTTAGCCCCCAGGAGACCATTAACTCCTGGGCACCTTGCTTTCAGTTCAGGTGAGCTGATGGCCTGGGTGCTGAAGGCAGAGACAATAGTATAGTTGATTAAGAACTTGGACTTGAAGTCAGCCAGGCCTAGGTTTGAATCCCAGACCTACCATTTGCATCAACTTCATTTCTGAGTTTAGTTCCACTGTCTATAAAATGGAGATCAGAGCATCAACAACCTACGGTTGTTATGTGAACTAAATAAGATACTAAATTCACGTGCCAGTGGTAGAACTGGGAGTCTACTGCAGGTCTAGCCGGTGCCATAGCCCACACTCACCCTTTCTCCTCCTGTCCCTTTTATATTTAGTAGATGCAGTGTTTTCTCTTTCTAAAACTTATACAATTTCACTTTGTATTTCCCCTGTGGCCTAAGAGTTATTTTATAGAGAGCTTTTAAAAATCCAGGGAGAAAAGTTTTCTGTGGTTTGGTTTTGTTATTGATTTTCTACTTTTATTCCACTATCACCAGGGAACGTTATTTGTATTATTTCTACCTCACGGAAATTATTGTATTTCCTTTGGGAGACTAATAATGGTGAATTTTGTGATTATTCTATGTGCATTTAAACAGAAGGTGTGTTCTCCGTTATCAGGGTACGAAGTGTGAGATGGAGCCAGACCTATGTAATGATGTTGTCTGGGGCTTCTATATTCCTACCTATTTTTGTCCACTTCCGCTGTCTCTGACTGAGAGTGGGATGTTAAATTATCTATTAGTATATTTCTATTGCTTCTTGCATCTTCTGCAGTTTCTGCTTCAAAGGGGCTGTTGTGTTACTTGGTACATATTCATAACTGTTGAATCTCTCTTGGGAATTCTGGCTTTTAGCATAAATCAGTCCTTCTTTGTCTTGGATAATGCTTTTCAGCCTGCATTTTACTCTGACACACATCAAAATCAAGATCTCCACTTTCTTACTGTTAGTTTCCATTTGTTTTGTATGCTTTGCCTATCTCTGTATTTTTTTGCTTTTTAAAATCACCTTGTTAGGTGTGACTTTCATACAGCAAAGAGTTGGCTTTTGAAGTGTCCATATTTTTACTATAGCCCCTAGGCATTCTTCTAGCCTGGAATCGAATTCATTTCTGTGGCTTCCAGCCAAACATCAGACAGACCTATAAGGGGAGCAGTTACATCGGGTAGGTACACTCCTTAGAACAAGCAACCATGGGAGATCAGAAGGGCAGCATGTGCTCCGGGAGATAGCTCAGAGGGCAGGAATGCACAACAAAGAACAACACAGGGAAAAGGTGGATACAGGGAAGAAGTGGGAAGAGAGCTGTTACATTGTGAGGATTGCAATGAATGTCATGAAACTGAATGTACATGAACTGCTGAATAGAGAACAAATCACACACACATATAAACACACACACACAAATGACAACAGAGATGCAGTGGCCAGTAGCCCTGAGACTTGCCCTTTTTGAAACAAAAAAAAAAAGGAAAATTGAGAAAAGCGTAAAGAAAATAAATCACCCATAGCTCACTGAAATAAAATGAAAGATTCCATATTTTGACCACTACACTACATGGGGCCTGGCATATAAAACCTGTTTCCTTCTTCTTTGCTTCTTTTCCTCAACCAGAGGCAAGACCCACCTAGGTCTCTAATCTCTTTATGTGTCTTGGGTTGCCCTTCCTCACTTGTCAGTAGGAGCTCTGGCCATGTCGGCATCTGAAGTCCCCTCCTCACTTCTGTGCCTTAGCTAGTTTACATTTTCAGTTGTTCCCTGCTGGGTCTCACTCCCTAGCAAGACAGGCCATCTCTCTCCACCTGGGGTGGTGAGGGGGGACCTTACATACACTCATCAATGGTGGGACACAAAGGGCACCAATATAAAAACTTAAAACACATTCTCTTCTACTGGTTGTGAAACTTCCAGTATATGGATTACTACTTGATGCTCCTGAACTAGTCTTTAACGCAGAACTCAATTACCTGGCAGAACTCCAGCACAAAAGCCACAGCTGAAGGACCGGCGCCGATCATCTACTCCACCCCCCGCCCCAGAGCATGAATTGCTTCTACGATATCCCAGCAGGCTCTTCAGATCCTGTTCGCATTTTTTTGGTAATAGTAAACTGTCTTTGTCACCTATTCTACACACATAGGTCTGAAACCCAGTTACATCATAGAATATCTATATGCCCTTAGGGACTCATAAGCACTCCGGGCCTCAGTTAATGTAATGTGTTTTTTTTTTTTTTTTTTAATTTGCAGAATAGGGATAATGATAGAAAGTAAGAGAGCTGTTAAGAGGACTAAGTCAGTTTACAAATTGCATGTCTATAAGGCCCCAGAAGGTAATGTGAAAGACCAGGTAGGTAATTAATTGAATCCCTTCAGTGAAAGGTGATAGGAGTGGTGAGAAGAGTGTGTTCTTGTCAAAGGGACAGGCTCTCCTGGGCTCAGTAGATTGTAGCCCTGCCTACAATATTGTGGGCCCCGTATCTGTAGAGATACTGCCTCAGAAGCCCAAGCAGGAGTCACTATGAGTCAAATCGACTTGATGGCAATGAAACTTTTTTTTTCAATTTTTCTAGAAAAGCAAAAACCTGACTTTTTATGTGAAATCTCTCAATGATTCAATATAATAACTAAAACAAATCTTTTTTAAAACACTAGATAAACCATAAGACCTATCTGAGGACTGGTTACGCTCAGAGGCATCCACTTGGCAGTCTCTGGTCTAAAGTCATTAGCATAATGCCCAACATAAGATGGGCAACACAATAAACTATGACTTCATCAGATCTGAAACCTTAGACATCAGATTCATAGGGGGAAGGACTTGCTTGATTGGGTGGGAGAAAAGTCAGGAAGGGGAGACTGAACATAACCAGGATGTGAGCAGCAGGCCCAGGCAACTGGCAGAAGGGGATCATCTCACTCTACCTCTGCCTCAGTCTCTCCAAAGCCCCCCAGGTGGTCTGCTCAGGCGCTCCTGTCTTGCTGATTCTCTCATATAACGAAGCCATCCCTGAGCAGATACATCAGACAAAGGATGTATGACAGCGCGGGGGAGCAAGGGAGTAAAGATACAGCTGGTTGGAGTCAGAGGAACCTAGCAGCTTCCTTAGAGTTGGCTCAACGAGTAGTAAACGAAAGGCACTGAGCTGGGAGTCAAGGGTGCAACCTGCTCTCTGCTCCTTTTCTCTCTGCCTTTTCCCCATCAGCAACTCTGAGCCCAGCCACATGCTTCCTACTCGGGCGGTGGCAGCTGTTCCACACATGTTCTAAATAAGTGCCAGCAGAGCTGGTCCTATTTTTAGCATTTTAAGTAGATGCAAAGGTCACCAAGATTCCCCATTTGCTGGCCTGATTCCTTTCTCTCTTCTTTCTTCTTCAACATATCTCTTATATTTCTCTTTCTACAAGATGTATGTTTTTGAGTTATGATAAGTTAATAAAGTAAGACTAATGGGGGAGAGGGACCCCAAATATATGCTTGCTCTTGGCCAACTCCTAATAGTTGCCACGAGGCTGGAAGCTGTCTATCCTGTAGCATGAGAAATCACGCACGACTTTGGGAAGGAGCACTCCAGGCTTGGACCAAAGCCACCCCTTCTTCTCTCCAGAGCATAATGGAGATTTAGAGGGGAAAACAGCCCTAGGGATAGTTTCCTCTAACCTGCCAAGTGCAGTTGAAGGCTCTGAGGCCTAACAAACCAAAAAAACCAAACCAGTTGCTACAGAGTTGATTGTGACTTACAGCAACCCGACGTGTGCCAGGGTACAGCCGCCCTCAATAGCATTTTCCTTTTAATTTATTTGTGGTTTGGGTGAAAGTTTACGGAGCAAATTAGCCTTCCCTCCAACAATTCAAACCAATTTTGTTTTGTGACATTAGCCACAATCTCCTAAATGTAACAGCTTTCTTCTCACTTCCCCCCAGGTTCACTGTCCCCATTTGTCCTTCTTTCCTGAGCATTGCTGCCTTCTGCACTTTGTTTTTGGGCAAATTCTGCTCCTTAGGTCCTATATGACTGATGTTTCTGGGGAATACAGTCCTCACCAGTGTGACTATTCACTTTACAGGTGATGCTTGGGTATGGGTTCAGTTACAGGTTTGAAGGGCGTCTAAGGGCCTCAGTCTCACAGGTTCCACCTATTGATCAGACCAGTAAGTCTGGTCTATTTTTATGATTTTGAATTTTTAAAAAATTTTTCTTCTGCTCTGTCCAGGCCCTTCTATCGCGCTCCCTGTCACAGTGCTTTGTGGTGGTAGCTGGACATCATTCAGAGCTTCGGATCTGAGGGTAGCAGAGGCTGGGCTTCACATGGTCCATCAGTCCTTTGGATTAATTGTTTCCCTGAGTCTTTGATTTTCTTCTCTCTTCTTTCTAGAGGATTTTTTAACGACTTACTTTCAGAAGTGCAATTGCTAGGCCCTTCTAAGGTGCCTCTGGGTGAACTGGCAAAGGCAGAGCCAGGGAAGAAACTCAGGATCTCAACCCCAATTCCTTAGCTCTTTCCAGACCCGAGCTCAGTGCCCAGGGCCCTATAATCACGACTCCATGTGGCTGAAAGAAAGAAAAGAGCTGGAAGGAGAGGGAGAGCCTGGAGGAAGAGGCAAGCCTGGCCTGACCCCGTCCACTCTCTCACGTGGCCCTTTGCTGCCTTCTTTGGAACGCACTGAGTGTGTTCAGAATTGTAGCACAGCCTGACCAATCATCCCCTGAATGCCAAAGGTCAAAGAGCTGCCGAGGTGCGAGGTGCGAGGTGCAGAGGAGAGCTGGGGCCCTTGTTACCTGTTCTCAGGATCGGCCAAGGCCATGCTCCGAGTGACGTAGCACATCTTGAGGGGGATGCTTTTGCGGTCTCTGTGGAAGGAGAAGGACTGCGGTGACAGAGGGTCTGAGGAGCCGCTCCCTAGCCGAGGGGATTCCGGCGGAGGAGTTTCCCACCCAATCTCCGACACTGGGGTGCCTTTCTTCACGTAGGGCGTGGCTTCTCGCATGTACTTCACTGCAAGCAAAAAGACAACAATGAGTGCTTTTAAGTACGCTGGGCAGGTCTCTGCAGAAGCTGATTGTTTGTTAAATTTGCTCTGGACACGTTCCTAACGTGGGACCTCTTCGACTCTCAACAAGATCAGAATTTCTGTCCCTCTCTACATAGTTATCCTGTTAGTTAACTACATACCAACACGATTCTTTTAACTTGCTGTTGTTAGGACGACCCGTAGTTGAAAACTGCTTTCAGCTTTTTTCAACTGTGACAGCATCTATCTTTTCTCATCACAAATTGCATTCTAGGAAAGAGGCTCAAAAACAAATGGGCAGAGAGTGGAAAAGCATTAGTTAGACGTGCAGACCCCTAATTATTCAATATAGATGTAGCCACAGTCACTGTGATCTGTGCAGAAGCAGGAATAAGCTTCTCAGTTTAAAAATGCTAAGAGCATGTACGCAAAGAAATACGTCTAAGGACTTTCTTTGCTAATAGACAAAATTTGTAATAGTGGCAGCATTTTTGTAAGTGCAAAACTAGAAACAACCTAAATGTCCAGTAAAAAAGGACATGGGAGACATCTTACAGTCATTTGTAAAAATCGGATGGATACAGATGTGTTGGTCTGGAAGGCCTATTTTTAGTGAAAAACAAAACAGTAGACAGCAGTAGATATACTGCCATCACTTTGTGTATAAAATCATAAATATATATGTTTGCACGCATACAACTGATGTCTGGATGGAAGCATAAGAAAGTGTTAACAGTACTCAGCTCTGGGGAGTGGAAATAAAAGTCAAGAAGATGGAGAAAAGAGGCCTTACCATCATTTATTTCCCTTTTATACCATTTGCATGTTTAACCATATGCATGTCTTACTTTAATAAAATTTAAAAAAAAAACATAATTTAATGCTGAGCAAAACAGACTGAACTCTCCTTTGAGATGTTTGCCTTATTCTGAAGAAGTTATTTGCCTATTCTTAATTTAAGCATTGAGTCCTTACATAGTTGAGTTGACAGGGCAACTAGAGTCTTAGAACATGCAATATAAACTTCTGTATCCTATCACCTACACAGTCTGGTTCTCTGCTGCTTGGGAAGATGGGACTAAGTCCTTCACAGGTATCTGTTATTAGTGAATTAGACAAGTGAAAGTCAAGGGGCATTTCCTAGAGATCACTGATAATTCAGTTCTACAAATTAATCTTTCACCTCACAACATGAGCTGGGTTTATGGAGGCTGCAGTGGTGAACAATATGTAGTTTCCACACTCAAGAATTACAACATTATGGGTGACTGTAAAGGATGATGTTGGGTCAGCCATATCCTTTTTACCATCCGTGATGCCAATATCCCAGCTGTGGTGTGTTGGCTAAGAAAAACTCCTAACTGTCATCTGCTCTGGAGAACTGTGTTTGGCCCAAGCTACGGGGTTACTGCCTGACCCCCCAAACACAGGCTCTGCCTCTAGGGAACTCAACCAACCTAAGATAGGGGTACAAGACAAGTGTGTACACTATGGCACAAAGAAGAATGAGCTGAGTTTAATAACAGGAATACAGGACCACAGGAAAAGTGGACCTAGGAGCTCAAATAAGCAGGCCAACATATCTGGATGCACATGATAGGGATACATATTTTGGGATTCAATTGTGGATATCACCTCATGTTTAACCATATGCACGTCTTACTTTAATAAAATTAAAAAAAACATAATTTAATGCTGAGCAAAACAGACTGAACTCTCTTTTGAGATGTTTGCCTTACTCTGAAGAAGTTATTTGCCTATTCTTAATTTAAGCATTGAGTCAGCTCAACTGTCTAATGACTCAATGCTTAATACCCTCATTAATAACCATCTCATTAATACAGGATAGAGGAGAAGTCCTTTAGTACCAATGCATATTTGAAAAAAAGATGTCAGGTTTTAATGGAAAATAAGTGCTAAAAAGGAGGAAATAGTCCCATGCCCGTTGCAAACCTGTTACCACAGGTTACAATTACAGACAGAGAGGGGTTATTCACAGGCAGAGTGTTTTTAGGAATATATATATATATATATTCCTAGGCAATATTAACACCAAAGGTAAACAATAATTTAGGGAGACAGATTTAAAATGTCCAGAGCTGGAATAGGAGCTCTGGTGGCATAGGGCCTAAGGCACTTGACTGCTAACCAGAAGGCTGGCGGTTCAAACCCACCAGCCACTCCTTGGAAGGAAGGTTGAGCAATCTACTTCTGTAGAGATACCGCCTCAGAAACCCAATGAGGGGTCGCTATCAGTCAGAGTTGATTCAACAGCAGTGAGTTTTGTTTTTTTGGTTTTAGAGCTGGAATAAATGGGACAGATGTCTTTTGAAGGTATGGAATTTTTCATCTCTTAAGGATGGTTGAGAAGAAGCTAAAACACTGCTTAGTTTGTATATTGTAGACTTATTCGCACTGACATATTTCAAACCCAAGCATCAGCTGAGGTGGGCTGAAGAGTCTCCTTTGATTGCATTATTAGCCTTTGGCTAGAGTAGGGGCTGAGTGTCGTGGGATTGAGAACGCAGGGAGGTGCATGGAGACTACAGTGTGATTCACAGAAAGGAATTTTTTTTTTTTTTTTTAGTTAAGGCTAGATTTGACAGTAACAATATCCAAAGGGAGCTGTAATGGTGTAGTACCTAAGGCACTGCTAACCAGAAGGCTGGCAGTTCAAATCCACCAGCGACTCCTCGGAAGGAAAGTTGGGCAATCTACTTTCGTAGCAAATAATAAAGACATTTGTTTTTCTTTTGCCAACAGTCTAGAGTAAAAGAAAAGTACTAGGGCAGCTGCACCCCTAAAGTTGTCAGAGACTCAGGTTTCTGCTTCCTTGATGTTCCTCATCTCTAAAAGGAGCTCTGGTGGCACAGTGCCTAAGGCATTTGACTGCTAATCAGAAGGCTGGTGGTTGAAACCCACCAGCCACTCCATGGAAGGAAGACTGGGCAACCTACTTCCATAAAGACTTATTGGCTTGGAAACCCAAAGGAGGTCACTATGAATCTGTTGTTGCTTTATGTGCGTCGAGTCGGACCTGACTCATAGCGACCCCTCCTTGGGTTTCCGAGGCAGTATCACTACGGAAGTAGATTGCCCAACCTTCCTTTCAAGGAGTGGCTGGTGGGTTTGAACTGCCAGCCTTCTGGTTAGCAGTCAAGTGCCTTAGGCACTACACTACCAGAGCTCCCTGTTATGAATCTAGTATAGCATTACATGACCCAAAATCGCTCCTTGAGTTCCAGCTATCATGCCCAAATCCCCATCAGCAGGAAGGGAGGAGGAAGAAGGGCACTTTTCAGAAGCCAACATACTATTTCTACTTACAATCACTGGTCATCAATTAATCACATGTCCATTTATTGATACAAAAGAAATTTACTCTTTACTCTGGACAGCCACAACCCCAGCTAAAAGCTGGTGGGAAACAGGGCCACTAATAAGGCAGGAGGAAAGAGCAGATATTAGGGGACAACCTCCAGGTTCTTCCACAGGAAAGCATCCCTAACGATGTCAGGCCTTAAGGCAACGAGATGTTATTGCACAGAAACAGAAGTAAACTTGTTAATACCATCAGTAAAAACAACAACTGTGCTTCAGGTACTTCCCTAAGTGCTTTTTGTGTACTAACTCATCTGAACTTCACAACAGCCCTATGGTATAGGCACTATAATCATCCTCACTTTACTAACAAAGACGTTGCAATAGACAGAGGTTAAGACAAATGCCCAAAGTTACAGGGCTAGGAAATGGCAGAAGTGTGAGTCAGATCCAAACTGCCTGGCTCCAGAGTTCATACTTTTAATGGTGTTTTTCATACTTTTTGTTTTCTTTTTTAATTAATTGGAGGTAAGCGTGTGTTTTTTTTATGTACTGAGAGATAACATCCAATTAAGAGGCTGCTGTCTGTAACCTACAAGAGCTTGATTCTGTGAGCTTGAACCATTAGACCACGACATTTCAATAAATGCCTTTTAAGACCCTCTAATGCATGCTCATAATGGAGGGTTTATCCTGGCAGAACTGAGCAGCTCATGTCTGCACAATCCCACCTCCATGGACCTAAGACAGTAATTTTAGGCATGGAGCTGTTGAAACTGATCAAGCAGGAGCCAGGCCCAGGTTCAGGGCACCTAATAATCTGAACTAATTAATCAACCATGCCCTTTCTGGGCATCATGAATTAAACACCAGTTGTGCAATTAAAATTCCAATCTTCAGTTGCAAAAAAAGGGGAGGAGAGTGGCAAGAAGTGATGTTCAAACCAATAATCCACCAAGTCACTTCAATATGTCTGCAGTTTTTCATTTGAAGGACATGCAGTTGGGGGCTTTCCAAGGAACCTTCAGTAAAGCCCAAGTTGTCGAAAGCTCCAAGTTGCCATAATTAAATTTTTGTTGGGGTGCCGAGGATGACATTTGAAAGGGAAAGAGAGAGACAGAGAGAAAGGGTGTGTGTGTGTGTGTGTGTGTGTGTGAGCACATGTGTGCACATGCAGCACATATGCATGCACAACTAATGAGAAAATGCTTTAGGCAAATCTGATCAACTCTCCTACCAGGCATCTCTGAAGAGCTAGAAAGGCCCTTAGATAAGTTGTCAAGTTTTCTTTTTAACAACAACAACAAAAAAAAAAAGGACTTCCAGATCAGAAGGAAGATGGGACAATCTACTTCTGTAGTGATGATACTACCTTGGAAACCCAAGGAGGGGTCACTATGAGTTGAAATAGACTCAATGGCAGTGAGTTTGGTTTGGTTTGGAGAATACAAGAAGGAAAATAAAATATTTCATTACTCTAGGGAATGTGACTAAGGATCCTTGGTGGCGCAGTGGTTAAAGTTTCTGGCTGCTAATGAAAAGGTCAATGGTTTGAACCCACCAGCCACTCTGCAAGAGAAAGATGTGGCAGTCTGCTTCCATAAAGATTACAGCCTTGGAAATAATATGGGGGAGTTGTACTCTGTCCTATAGGGTCACTATG